ACTTTCCGTGACGGAGAAGAAGAAAGACGACATGGATGTGGATCAGGAAGGCTCCAAGAAGGATTCCGCCGGGACGGAGAAGTCCAAGCCTCGGGATACTGAGGCTGGGAAGACAGACCCGAGCGAGATCACCAACTTCAAAGGGGCTACCTTCGAGGAGTACCGAAAGACTGCTCCAGACTATGTGTACAGCGGGGAGGGAGATGATCGAAGGATCCTTCCCAAGAACACTCCGATAGACATGGAGAAATCGTTGCCAGCTGAGGCAGCGCTCCTGATCCCTAGAGCAGTGGCCACGCAAAAGGAGGCTGAGGAAGCTGAGAAGGCCGCAATGGAGGCCATCCGCGGGGACTTTAGGCTCCCTGACGTGGGTCAGGAAGACAGGGAGAAGGTCGACCCTCACACCGTGACGGATGAAGACTTGGCTGCGTCGATAGACGCGTTGACTAGGAGATTGAGCGACATGCCTGAATGGTCGGGCAATCTGATTGATCCTGCAAAGTCTGCTGAGCTGGTCGCGGCGAGATGGGGCGGAAAGGCGAGTTATGACAAGCCTGAGGCTCCTCTGACTGAGGCTGGGATGAAGAGTGCGTCATTGGAGGATCGAGCTTATGCCCTGTCGCAGCTGAATGAGATGGTGAACTTTCACAAGAAGCACCTATGCTCTGGGCGAGGAGCGCCAATGGTAAGTGCAGCTGCCCCCAGTGGACCCTTTGCTCCTGATCAGGTGGATGAAAGCAGAAGGTTCCGAACGAGTGAGGCGGCAAGCAAGATGACCTACAATCTTGTGGTCCTGGACGGAAGGAGGGATTATCTTGCCGATAGGCAGGAAATCAATCCAGATCTAAGGGATACTGGGGTTATCCCTGATGAGGCCGCTACATGCCAGATTGTGATTCCCTCGAAGACAAGGTTGGGCGAGTACGTCCCGAACTACGAGGAAACCGCGGGCACCGTTGCAGGGCGGGAGGCGGCTAAGGAGTTGATGAGACTGCTCTCGTGCGACTTTGAAGGTCTGGTCATCAACTCGAAGAAAGTCTCGGAGTTATTCGAGGAACATGTGCTGACGGAAACTGGACGTGAGGCTGGAAACTGGGTGAGTAGTGACCAGGCCATCTGGTTCCTGAGAGAGATCACGGGCATGGAGAACGCCGAGATGTCGTGGAAGTTCTTCATTCCGACAATCAAAGCTTTCCCGATAGGGCAAGTTGAGGCGATGCTCATGATCATGTACGATGGGAATGGTGTCCTCCTCAAGGAGAGCACTAGGTTAGTGGCCGTTAGGTACACGCGGATCGGACGTGACATGAGTTACAGTGCCGTTAGGCAAAGGTACACCCAAGAAGATGCACCTGGCGGATCTCTGATGTACGAGATGCACTGGAATGAACTCCCTATGGTGGGGTACGTCGTCATGAAGTTCTCGGACTTTAGGAAGGCGGTTCAGCTCCAAAAGGTGAGGCGAAACGGAAAGGCTATGATCGAGATATTGATCACGAGGCCCGATGTGTACGAGACCATTGGGGATGGAAGGCAGGATGAGGGCCTGATCCCACTTGTGGAAACCATGGCGCCGAATGCCAAGGTATCGCCATCGTGGTACGTCAGGGACAGGCTGCGGAACTACTCGGGAAGGTGCGTGGTGGTAATCGTGGACCTTCGGGTGCACTGGTCATTGGTTGGACCCGTGTTTCTGACGAGGAGAAAGACCTTTGCCGTTCGGAACGAGATCCACATGGGCGCTTGGAAGGCAGCATACATGTACGATGACTACACGATAGTGTATCATCGGGCATGGGATTATGGTGACCTTACCCCCGATAGGGGAGAGCACAAGCGATCGCGTGAAGAAGTCAGGTTGAATGTGACCACCACCTTCTGTTTGAGGTGCGCGGAGATGACGCCAAATGGGATGCATTTGTGCCCTGGGTGTGCACTCCCGGTCTTCTACCCGAACTTCATCCCTAACGCGGACGAAAGTGACTTCGAGAGGTGCCGTATTAAGGAGCATGAGGCAGTTCAAGCCCAAGAGGATTCCATCCGAAGTGGTCGGAGTTATCAAGAGGAACTTGATTTCCTATTCGATGGCGTCTGACCTGAGGATGACGGTGCAGAGCGGCATCAGACTGCCCCGTTATCTTGGTGAGGACAAGGGAGGAGTCGATACGGCGTGGGATGAGCTGGCGAAGGTGCTCTTCCAATTCTCCTATGTGTCGGGGATTTCGGCCTCGGATGCGTTCGTGGAGAAGTGGGTGGCGAAGCACCTGATTAAGACCAACCAAGTCGATAGATTTGATTCGGCCACTGAGTACTTCCGAGCTAACCCGGTGCATGCTGCTCAGTGGGGTAGGCGTATGACGACTTCCGTTAGGAAGTTCGCTCGCCATGACACGTACTTGTCCTTCTATATCCCGATGGCGTACGTGATTGGCTCCGCGGCGGGGCATCTGACTCCATTGTATCCGACCCATCGGAAGGACGTGGACATCCTGGCCAGTCATGCGTTGATATCGGATCTCAGGAAGTACATGGTATCAGAGACAGGGTACGATGAGAAGAAGAGATTGAAGGAGGCGATAGCCAAGGTGCAGAAGGCAATCAGTGCCGGGCAGTCGGAGCCTCCCGCCCCCTTCCGCGACCCATTCGTCTACGTTAGTGACGAAAGGGTGAGGACGGTTCTTGATGGTCGTCAACCGGAGCCATTGGACGTGAACATTGAAGGGCTTCAATCGGTGCATCATGCTGCGCAGGGTCCTGGTCCTAAGCAGGAGCCGATCGTCAAGGGCGGAAAAGGAAAAGGGAAGAAGGGGGAAAAGGGCGGTAAGGGCGGTAGTCCTTCCGGCCCACCACCAAAGTCAGGTGAAGTGCCAGGAAAAGGGTCTGGTAAGGGCGATGTTCCATCTGTCTCACAGGCAAAAGCAAAGGCTGATGCTGGGCCGGCTCCGATGGAGGTTGATGCAACTGTGGCTCAGCCGAAGAAGACTTGGGTCGCGATAGCGGTTGAAGGAGCCCGGCCGAGTGCGAAGGCTAAAATGACCCCGGTTCCAAAAGCCGAGCCAAAAGGGAAGGCCGCTTCAGTATCTGAGGCGAAGAGTGCTCCGGCTCCGAAGGCTGAAGCTAAGGAAACGAAGCAGGCCGAACCGAAGGTTGAGGTCAAGAAGGAGAAGATAGGCGGAGATGACGCTCCTGGCGGTAGCCGGGGGGATCCCGATGAGACTGTGAAGGAGTCGACAAAGCGGGAGGCGTCAACAAGGCCTGATGACGTCGACAGCAGACCAGGTGCGGCAGCGAGAGAAGCTAGTGGAGATGATCTTCACTCCGCGCTTGGCAGGTCTTCGGCAAAGGACGCGGTAGCGCCTTTGACGGCCTCCAAGGCGATGGCAAAGAAGCCTGAAGGGGGTGAGATCAGGTTGCAGTCGGCGGAGCGAGCAGCTGCGAGCTCGGTGGAAGGTCATTGCCGGAGAGTTCGGTGGTGAACGCTTTCCTGACGATGTCACCCGATAGGGTGCTGAATAAGCAGGTCAGGGATTTCATCAGGAATGGTGAGAATGCTTCGGCGCTGGAGGCTCTTAGCCAGATAGTGTCGAACTCTCGCCTCGGGAGAGGACGTCGAGATTCGGATGTATCCCGTACTCCTTCTCGGAGGTCCGCTAGGACCGTGGACACCAGGGATTCCCGAGAGTCGAGAAGGCGCAGATACCGTCCGAGGCGTGACGAAGATCGTGACCGGAGGAGGGACGACACTCGTGATCGTCGTGATGATGACTCACTCGATCGGGAGCGAGATCGAAGGCGAGATGATCGCAGGAGATCCGAGAGGGACCGTGATAGGGACCGTGCGCGGGGCGGACGTGACCGGAGGAGACGTGACGATAGCCGATAGGCTGAGTCACGAGGATTGCGGCCGATAGGCTTGCGTCCATTCTCCAATGGTCAGCGCGGTGCGGAGGTGGTGATGTTCCTCCCGAACCGCTGAGGCGCGGAGATCATGTCTCTCCCATACCGCTGCTCGGCTGCTGGTCGTGTTCATCATGAAGCAGTGTGAGTGAGAGGGAAAGCAAACTGATGGGGGCGTACTCCCGGGCTTGCGGAATTCAAGCATTTTTCAGGTACGCATGGTCAGGAGTACCTCTTGCCGATAGGCGAGGGTACTAATGGACATACGTTATCCTTTGTTTCATGGCTTCTGATAAGAATTAAACTTCTTGCATTGTTGATGCAAACAGTTGTGGCCTAGTGCCGTCATGTGGACTCTTTCACAAGGTGTGTTGGACAGCGTTACCCCGATTAATTCGGGGTGGTGGCAGGAATTTAATGCCCGGGATGTCGCGCAACCGCCTTTGTGGGTTTGCTCCACCGCTGACGGCGGTAGTGTCCAGCTGTTTGCGGACACATGCGAGCAGTTAAATCCTATCAGTAAATGGCACGCTCCGCCCGTCATATGACGGACTCCTCGTGAGGGGGGTGTGATTAGCCATGTATTTCAGGTGACTACCGGCATGTTGCGATAGCAACTATCCGGTGCCACTTTGGCTCAAGATTTATGGGTTCCGTCGCGCCTCGAATGGGCGTCGCCGAACCCCTGCGTCGACCGACGACATCTCGGGGGAGAAAGAGACCTCGGGCCGCCGTCAGGTTGGTAGGGACCACTCGTGCGGCCTGTTGTCGGTCAAGGTTGCGGGTAACCCTTTTCTTGTTTGGTTATTTTCCCTTTTGGTTGTTGTTCTCTGGTGTGTGGGAAACCCTGATCTTTGGGACCGGGGATTGGTTTGCTTTTGGGGAACCTTTCTTTTGTGGCTTGTTTACCCCAACTTACCCATTGCCTGGGCACAGGCTCGTGCCCGAATCACACAAGGCAACAGACGCCACCCTTGTTCAAGGTCCACCTTTTCGAAGCAAAAAAGGGGGAAACAACAAAAAACGTTTTTCAACACGCTACCCTGGTTGACTCCGTCTTCGGACCCCCCAGCCATTTCTGGAGTGCAGATTGTTTTCTGAAGGTGCAGCTTCTGGAGGAACTGTCACGGTGCCAGCCTCGAAGGGGTAGGGGACAAACAGTCATTATGACTATGGCTCATGCGTCAAGAGGATAAGGGATGAGTTTCTTTGGGACGGTCCAAGCACCTCCCATTGTGAACATGCGACCCTTCCCATTCCTTTCAGTCCACTCAAAAGGTATGCAGGGCTTTTGGAGATGGCCCGGGGAGTCAGACAGTTCCGAAGGGAACCAGGATAGTGTTGACCGCGGACCCGGGTCTAATTTGTCCCAGCCATTTTGGGAGTCTCCTAATTTGAGACAAAGTGAAGCAACAACTGGGGTAGCTGTGGTGTTCACTGCACCATCCGATTTGCTCAGGGACAGCCAAGTCATCCGGAATCACTCAGCCTTCACCATCGCCACGGTGAAGAAAATCAAAGACGGTGCGCCGCTGTTCCAAAGGCTTTCTGGACACTCCCAGGTCAGAGGCTTTCTTCAAATGGCTAGGAACTTGAAGACTTGGAACGCCTCAAAAGTGGGTGGTGGACATGAAACCCCAACTAAATGTCCACCAAACGGTCCCTCATCAAAGCTCACACCCAGACGGCAATCGCATGAGTCTCTTCCTAACTTGCGTGATTCCAACCTGTCCCAGCGCCAGGGAAGTATCGCCCTCGAAACCCGCGCGACTCTGGTACCGCTACCGTGTTTGATTTTCCTCTGACTCGAATGCTTGTTACTTTGCTTGCGTGATTGAGTGTTTGCCTGTTTGTTTGTTCGTTTGTTTACCTGCTTGCTTGCTTGCTTGCTTGCTTGCTTGCTTGCTTGCTTGCTTGCTTGCTTGCTTGCTTGCTTGCTTGCTTGCTTGCTTGCTTGCTTGCTTGCTTGCTTGCTTGCTTGCGTGTTTGATTGCTTGCTTGCCTGTTTGCCTGTTTGTTTGTTCGTTTGTTTACCTGCTTGCTTGCTTGCTTGCTTGCTTGCTTGCGTGTTTGATTGCTTGCCTGCCTGTTTGCCTGTTTGTTTGTTCGTTTGTTTACCTGCTTGCTTGCTGCTTGCTTGCTTGCTTGCTTGCTTGCGTGTTTGATTGTTTGCCTGTTTGTTTGGTTGTTTGAAAACCAGCTTGCTTGCTTTCGTGTTTGATTGCTTGCCTGATTGTTTGTTCGTTTGTTTGCCTGCTTGCTTGCTTGCTTGCTTGCTTGCTTGCTTGCTTGCTTGCGTGTTTGATTGTTTGCCTGGTTGTATGTTTGTTTGTTTGTTTGTTTGTTTGTTTGTTTGTTTGTTTGTTTGTTTACCTGCTTGCTTGCTTGCTTGCTTGCTTGCTTGCTTGCTTGCTTGCTTGCTTGCTTGCATGCTTGCTTGCTTGCTTGCTTGCTTGCTTGCTTGCTTGCTTGCTTGCTTGCTTGCTTCCGTGTATGTTTGCCTGTTTGTTTGTTCGTTTGTTTACCTCCTTGCTTGCTTGTGTGTTTGATTGTTTGCCTGTTTGTTTGTTCGTTTGTTTACCGGCTTGCTTGCTTGCTTGCGTGTTTGATTGCTTGCCTGATTGTTTGTTCTTTGTTTACCTGCTTACTTGCTTGCTTGCTTGCGTGTTTGATTGTTTGCCTGATTGTTTGTTCGTTTGTGTACGTGCTTGCTTGCTTGCGTGTTTGATTGTTTGATTGTTTGCGTGTTTGTTTGTTTGTTTGTTTGTTTGTTTGTTTACCTGCTTGCTTGCTTGCTTGCGTGTTTGATTGTTTGCCTGTTTGATTGTTTGCCTGTTTGTTTGTTCGTTTGTTCACCTGCTTGCTTGCTTGCTTGCTTGCTTGCTTGCTTGCTTGCTTGCTTGCTTGCTTGCTTGCTTGCTTGCATGCTTGCTTGCTTGCTTGCGTGTTTGATTGCTTGCCTGATTGTTTGTTCGTTTTTTTCCTGCTTGCTTGCTTGTTTGCTTGCTTGCTTGCGTGTTTGATTGTTTGCCTGATTGTTTGTTCGTTTGTTTACCTGCTTGCTTGCTTGCTTGCGTGTTTGATTGTCTGCCTGATTGTTTGTTCGTTTGTTTACCTGCTTGCTGGCTTGCTTGCGTGTTTGATTGTATGCCTGATTGTTTGTTCGTTTGTTGACTTGTTTGCTTGCTTGCTTGCTTGATTGATTTTTTGCCTGATTGTTTGTTCGTTTGTTTACCTGCTTGCTTGCTTGCTTGCGTGTTTGATTGCTTTCCTGATTGTTTGTTCGTTTGTTTACCTGCTTGCTTGCTTGCTTGCTTGTTTGCTTGCTTGCTTGCGTGTTTCATTGCTTGCCTGATTGTTTGTTCGTTTGTTTACCTGCTTGCTTGCTTGCGTGTTTGATTGTTTGCCTGTTTGTTTGTTCGTTTGTTTACCTGCTTGCTTGCTTGCTTGCTTGCTTGCTTGCGTGTTTGATTAATTGCCTGTTTGTTTGCCCGTTTGTTCTCCTGCTTGCTTGCTTTCTTGCTTGCGTGTTTGATTGTTTGTTTGTTCGGTTAACTTTTTTTCCTGCTTGCTTGCTTGCGTGCGTGCTTGATTGTTTGCCTGATTGTTTGTTCGTTTGTTTACCTGCTTGCTTGCTTGTTTGCCTGTTTGATCTTTTGTTTGTCTGCTTGCTTGCTTGCTTGCTTGCTTGCTTGCTTGCTTGCTTGCTTGCTTGCTTGCTGCTTGCTTGCTTGCTTGCTTGCTTGCTTGCTTGCTGCTTGCTTGCTTGCTTGCTTGCTTGCTTGCTTGCTTGCTTGCTTGCTTGCTTGCTTGCTTGCTTGCTTGCACTTGTTTGCTTGCTTGCTTGCTTGCTTGCGTGTTTCATTTTTTGCCTGATTGTTTGTTCGTTGGTTTACCGGCTTGCTTGCTTGCTTGCGTGTTTGATTGTTTGCCTGATTGTTTGTTCGTTTGTTTACCTGCTTGCTTGCTTGCTTGCGTGTTTGATTGTTTGCCTGATTGTTTG